GAGCCACAACTCAAGTTAGATCACAAGTTGAGTCGCGTGCTACATCAATACAGAACAGACCTGTGGATCTTAAAGAGGTCCGACCTACGAAACGACTGAACTTGACCATCAAGCGACACGCTAAACCCCCAGGCTTCCCAAGCGGAGGTGGCCGACGATGCGCCAATTGGTAGGGAAGGTAACATTTCGACTCCTGTCATCTTTTCAGTCCTTTCATCTATCAAGCTTCAGACTTAGCAATTTTTTATTCTAGGGGGTCATGAAGAAGATGCAATGATGTACAACCCTCCTTCTCCCAACTTAGATTTTTTTAGAGGGTCCAGCTTCGTGCCCCAAGTAGATGAGGCTATGGCCGAGGATCCGACAGGTGTTAAAATAGATGCGGTCCTTGAGACTGGTGAAGGTGCCATTGTAGAATCTGGTTTGTCTACCATGATCGCTAGCCCAGGTACATCTATTACCGGTAGTACACCTTTCAGATGGCAATATCGGGTATTAAATGACTCAGAGTTCATCCCTCCTATAATTGCTTATATGCTTCTGGATCTTTTAGAAAAGCTACAAGAGGCGAGCGTTGATGTCGGGATCGCGGAACCTACCGTTGCTATCGGTGGTGAATTTAATTCCCATTCATTGTCAATTTTCAACTTCTATTTCCTTGTCTTGACACTTAGAATTTTCTGTAGACATTTTGATGGAAGGTTTAAATGACGAAGAAGTCTCTCCCGATATAGTCAACGCACCTTCATTTGATCCCGCACAAGATCCTTCAAGATCTGGCGACAAGCAGTTCAACAATATATTGTCAGAACCAACTCATCATGAGGCTGTCGAACCAGTTTTCGAGGCTGGTCCCTCTGCCGGTATGAATTTTATCCTTTTGTGAAAGTTATACACTCATCAGTCTTACTTAACTGTAGGGGAGTTACGCTTGTAGGATCAGTCGTTTAGACTGATACAACTATTATTGTTGGAATATCTGACGATCCTGAGTGCCTTGATTTCTTGCTGTTTGGCGGGAACTATCATAGAAACTCAATCGTCAGTCATTCGAACCCAGCTCACAATCCCGATGATTGAGATGACTGCTATAGCGGTGGGGACTAGCCCTGTTGAGCAAGCCGTGAGACCAACTAACGAGGTTGGTACGTCAACGGCTGCGACATCAGCGATGATCTTAACAGCCAAGCCGTGAGACCAACTAACGAGGTTGGTACGTCAACGGCTGCGACATCAGCGATGATCTTAACAGCTCGTGGTGCCGTCCAGTCGGAACCAAGTGCGGGACATCAACTTGAGGAAACTTGGTAAATTCTAACGCCGATACTAATTTAGAACTTTGGCTAATATTTTAAAGATATTTACATCATCTTTTTCTTGTAGGGTTATCTTCTCGGATCAATGATATAGTCAAGGCTCTACTATCTGATGATGACCCGGATCAAACTCTGTTTTGCATGGAAGTCAGCTCTCTCTTCTTCTTTGTGAACGTGATGATTGATAAGCTTCTCGTCAGGGGACTTTCCTTCCATCAATTTAGACCAGCGCTTTCCACCAAAATAAATCCAATAGAGAAAGCGGGCTCTCTGGATCTGGCGCAATCTATAGCTAACGATTTAGACCGTCTTGAGTGAACTCCAACGGTTACAAGAATTGAAGACTACTGGTACTTCAATGTACATAGCTGCCCAGATGGAATCTCGTCTACAAATATGGCGCGACACTCGAGCCTCCGCTGGACTTGAAATTCAAACGCAACAAAGCCAAGTGGATCGAATGAAAGCCGCCCTTGTTTAGAAACAAACAACTTTGTGTCAACTCAAGTCCTCTATTACGTTAGGCGAGGCCAAGATAGAGCGACTTAAAGAGGAGCTCAAGGCAGAGGAGTATGCCTTTGTTATCTTTGAGATGACGAAGGCTGACTTAGAGCGCTCACAAGTTGTGTTAGCCGGGAAGTTAGAGCTCTTGGAATAGAAGTTAGCCATGATGGAAGAAGAGGCTGCAAAAATATTATCCCTCACCGAGGAATCCTTCAAGGTTGAACTGCAGCGTGAGCTTGAGTGAGCTTATACAGAAGAATTGACTAAACTTGAATAGCAAATTCGTAGTCACAAACTTCATGTAGATTGATTGTAACTCTTGTACCTGCAAACTCAATTTTTATTAATAGAAGATATTTCTTTTTCGTTCATTATGTCTCTTTTATTATGATATCCTATTCTATTTGGAATAATCAATCATAATATTTATAGGATTTTTGGCAAATCCTCAGCCATCAACGGGTTTGATGAGCCTTAACCGACTACCGTTTGAGTCAGGCTAGAGTGCGAATTATTTAAATCCGTTCCGTATGTAACGTTGTACTAAAAGAGTTAACTCTTCTAGTGCTACGATATTAAATACATAGACTTCGTCTTTCTCATGAGAGTAGACTACCCAGCAACGCGTGTCAGTCGCTGATATATCCCTTCTTAGGCTTCGGGATAAAATTGCTTAGACTCGGATTCTGGTGTCTTCTTCAATCGGTGAAAGACTAAACCGGAAACGTGTGTTAGATATAGACTTAGGATTTTTGGTAAATCCTCAGCCCTCAACGGATTTGACATGACTTTACCGATTATCGTTTGAATCGGTCTTGCATGCAGATTGTTTAAGTCCGTTCTGCATGTAACGTTATGCTAAGAGAGTTAATTTTCTTAGACTTGGTGCTATGATTTTGAATACATAAACTTTGCCATTTCTTATGGGAATATGGCACCCGACAACGTGTGTTAGGCGCTGACTTATCCCTACTTAGGCTTCAGGATAAAATTCCCCAGACTTGTATTCTGGTGTCTTCTTCACTCGGCGAAAGACTAAACTGACTATGTGTGTTAGACGTAGACTTATCTCTAATTAGCAATCAAGATAAAATCCCTTGTGTATAAAGTGCACGGATTTGAAGCAAAGAATCGTGTCTTTTCTTAGGGTAAAGACGAACCCGATGCTGGAGAAGAAGAATTTTATATTCTGTCCCTAAGTCTTGTTTAGGGCAAAGACGAATCCAAAATAGGAGAGGAAGAATTTTATATCCTATCTTCTAAAACTGAAGAGAAAGAATTTTATATTCTATCTCTAATTGCAAAGGAGACTCGAGGTGGGATCTCCACCCCAGAATCCGGAAAGGTGAAACTAGGAGTGGGATCTCCACTCCAAGAATCAGAAAGATTCAAGCGACCCTAACTTTTATAGGATTAGTTGCTTAATCTAAGAAAAGAATTCCTCATTTATTAAGGTAAAATTCTGATTTTGACCCTAACTTTTATAGGTTTGGTTGAAAAGGAAAAGGTGGAAGTCTTTCGTTTATCGAAAGGAGACATTCCAATCTTGGTCCTAACTAATACAGGTTTGACCAAGTGAGGTTGGAGGCAATCCTAACTTTTATAGGTGTGATTGTTCAAATTAAAAATGGACCTCTCGTTCATGGAAGGAATCGAGAGGGGATTTTTTCTTTGGCCCTAACATTTATATGTTTGACCAAGACAGCAGTGGGAGTGGAATACAGATAGCAGTGAGAATGCCAACTTGTACTAGCCACTCGATGGAGGATTTCGATGTTAAATGATTAGGACTTAATGCGTCGAGCTTGAAAATTGCCAAAGATTGGTGGATAGAAATCTCAAGTGTCGTGTTAGTATTTTAACAACGTGAGTGTTAAATGTACCAACATGACAAGAGTTTGAACGGACTTAACCGATAGGAATTTTGGCAAACCCACCATCAATTGATTTGATCAGAGGGGGGTTTTGTGAGGAAAGATTGATCTGTCAAAATGATCGAGTCTCGTCTCAGCATAAGAATTCATGAGAGTCGGTGAATTCGATATCAACAATAAGATACGTTCCAACTTTGAAGATATTTAGAATCCAAGTGTAGACTTATTTATCACTTTGGTAGTAACTGGGTTATGCCTAAGAATATCACACGTAGTATTCTTCCAGGAACTTCCCGATACATGGGTTATCCTGAATGTACTAAGGGTAGTACTTTTTCAGGAACTTACCATTTATCGGCATCATAAGTCGGGCGCCTTCCTTAGTAATAAGACGATATGTGTCATTTGAATAGACTATCTCTACCATAAATTATCCTTCCTATTTAGGTTCGAACTTTCCTTTCTTTTTAGAATTAAGGATCATTGGTCGTCGGACTGCTAAGACCAAGTCTCCTTCTTTGAAACTTCATTGTCGAATCTTTTTATTAAAGGCTCGGGAAATTCTGGCTTGGTAGAACTCAATGTGCTGTTGAGCTTCTAAGTGCTTCTCGTCAAGTATTTCAAGTTCTTCAAGGAATTTTTGATGTTGTTCTTCAGTCATCATCTGGGTTGTGAAAGCGATTCTAAGAGATGGAATTTGAATTTCCAATAGAAGGACAGCTTCATACCCATATACCAGAGAATATGGGATTGCGCCAGTAGGCATGCGAACTGTGGTGCGGTAGGCTCATAGTGCTTCACTAAGTTTATCATTCCAATCTCGTTTATTAGTCTTCACAAGTTTTGACAAAAGCTTTATGATAGTCTTATTAAAGGTTTCAGCTAATCCATTCACTATGGAATTGTAAGCTATCAACGAGACGTCTTGAATTTTAAACTTCTTGCAAAACTTGATGAAAGTATTGCTGACAAACTGAGGACCGTTGTCATATATGATTCATCTTGGGACACCATACCAGTAGATAATATGGTGTTTGATGAATGTCACAATGTTGCTTGTCTTAACTTCTCTGAGCGGAATCGCTTCAACCAATTTGGAGAAGTAATCGGTAATTGTCAGGACGAATCGATCGCCTTTGATTGACGGAGGAAAAATAAGACCAACAACATCCATTCCCCAGGTCTCAAAAGGCCATGATGTATCCGAAGAGTGTAGATGCTCCGGGGGTTGATGCATATAATTTACGTGCACTTGACACGTGTGGCACTTTCGGGCATACGCAACTACATCGTTAATCATGGTGGGCTAGAAATATCCCATCCTTCCAATGCGATCATAAAGTTTGGGACCAGGTTGGTGTGCACCACAAACTTCTTCATGTGTCTCTCTAAGGACTTCTCCTGCTTCTTTAGTCGATAAGCAACGTAGTAGTAAACCATCATACCTCCGATAATATAACGTTTGATTCTCTGTGTTATAGTAGAACCTCAGTACTCTCTTTCGGATTGAGTCCCTTTCCTTCACATCTTCTGGTAAGATCCCGTGCAAGATGTAATCTATGATAGGGAAACGCCACTCTCGAGGTTTGAATTCAACTTGGGTTAAATGCACTTCTTTAATATCCTCTTCTCTATCATCTGCATCGTAGATTGGTATGAAGAGCTGGTGAGTTCTCACCATAACGAATTGTTTTGTTTCAGGAGGCTGTGCCAGAGATACTGCTAATGCTGCTAATACATCCGCGTAGGTGTTCTGTAAGCATGGAATGTATTCGATGAAGAATCATTCAAACAATTCTGCTATCTTAACGGCCACCTTATGGTATAGTATCAAATCCTGATTTCTGACCTTATATTCCCCTTGAACTGGTTTAACCACCAGTTAAGAATTATCGAAAGCTTCGAGATACTCGACCCCCAGCTCTTTGGCAAAACTGAGTCCAATAAGCAGTGCGTTATACTCGACTATATTGTTTGAGCATGGCTCGGTCAGTGAGTAGGCTTGAGGCATCACATGTTTTTCCGGGGCAACTAAGACAACTCCAACCCTGGAGGAAATCTTAGAACATCCAGAAACACTTGCTACATTAGTTGCTCGAGAAGCACCATCGAAGTACAAACGCCACACCTGTTGATGGGAAGTTATGTTGGCTTTGTTGGTTTCATCTAGCAGATCGTCGTATACCTTGGCGGTATCCATAGTTAGATTAGCTGCCAGGAGATCACAAATAGCTTGTCCTTTGACCGACTTTTGTTATTTAAAGTGTAGGTCGTATTGGGATAGAAGCAGAGCCTATTTTACTAATCGCCAATTAATGAAGGCCAGCTACGTCATGAATATCCGGACTGGATTAACATTGGAGTTGATGTAAATAGCCTGTCCGACCAAGTAGTGCCACATCTTTTGAATAGCGAACACCAAGGCGAGACATTCCCTTTCAATCATTGGATATCGGGATTCAGCATCCACAAGGGTCCGGCTCAAGTAATATACTATCTGTTTGTGACTATTGTCGTCGTCTTGTGTAAGTAATGTACTTAACGAGTGGCTCATCACCTTAACATATATCAAGAATGGTTTGCCTGATTTTGATGTAACGAGTACAGGGGGTTTCGAGAGATATTCTTTGATATCCTTGAATGCTTTTTGACAAGCGTTATCCTAAACGAATGATACGTCCTTCTTTGTGAGCCTGGAGAATGGTTGACATTTCTCCGAAAGGTTCGAGATGAACTGACGGATATAAGCCAACCGTCCTTGCAATCCTCTAAGTTCTTTAAGATTTCTTGGGGGTTGCAACTTGTTAATTACCTTTACTTTATCAGGGTCAATATGAATACCCTTGATGGTGACGACGAATCCAAGGAATTTGCTGCTGGATATTCCAAGGAAAGATTTGGTAGGATTCATCTTCAGTTGATGAGTCCGCATCGGATCAAACATCATCTTCAATTGATGAGTCCGCATCGGATCAAACATCATCTTCAAGTCTTTGATGTGATTATTTTTTTCACGATTTTTCATGACTAGGTCGTCCATGTAGCATTCGATAGTATTCCGGAGGTACTCTTGGAAAATCATTGACATGGCTCCCTGATATGTAGCACCTGCATTCTTTAAGCCAAAGGGCATAACTGTGTAGCAAAAGACACCAAGGGGTGTTCTAAACACGGTATGCTTTTCATTATCTAGGTGCATCTTTATCTAATTATAACCAGAAAATCCGTCGAATCCACATGTATTGTCGATGATAACATCCGCGATAGGAAGATGGAACTCATCTTTTGGGTAGGCGATGTTAAGGTCTCTAAAGTCGATATAAATCCTGATTTTCCCATTCTTCTTAAGGACCAGGACAATATTGGCAAGCCATTCAGGGTGTTGCTCCTCCCTGATGAAACCCAAGTCGATAAACTTTTTAACTTCGAACTCGATTGACTCTATAATTTACGGATGAAACCGTCTTTGTTGTTGTTTGACAGGTTTGACATCCGGCTTAATATTGAGGTGATGCATTACCACATTTGGATCGAGCCCTGGCATATCCTCATAGTTTCAAGCAAAGACATCAATATACTCCCTAATGAAGGCAATTAACTCTTCTTTCTCATTTGGCGGGAGGCGGTCGCTAACAAAAATCGGCTTTGGATTATCTTCATCACCCATATTCACCTGGATTACTTGGTCCTCGGTACGGGGGTCCCTTTGTTCAAACCTATCACCGTACTGCATATTTAGGTGATGAACCCAAGGGTCTTCCCAAGTTGGCATTTGATCGTCTTCCTCAATTGTGACGGGGTCGATCATAGTCATGTTTGACATTAGTCTTTTGAATATTTCTCCAAGACTAGTGTCAGAATCCCAGGCTGAAGAATTAGAAGAATATTCGTCTTTACCCTTATTAGCTATTTGATCAATGACCTGCCAGCAGCACTCGCCATCGGACGAGAAGACATAGCCTAAACCTCGTCTGTAGCTATAATAATCATCGGGTTTTCCTTTTGGTACATAAGCCATACGGGGTGGAACTCGCGGTCCTCGACCAAAGTAAAGACCCTCTCCGAGTGTGAAGTCATATCCGTATTTCTTCATTAGATTACGTGCTTTTGTGTCATATCTGAATAAATGAGGAGCAAGTTTATCATCATCGTCATCTTCTCTCAAAAAGTGATATGGTACTGAAAACTCCTTGCCTTTATCGTAAACGACTTCTTTTTCACCCCCTGCCTTTGCGGGGACGACAAGTGTCGTTACGAACAAATCCGAAACATGCTTCTTCGTCATGCAATATGATTGAAGTGGCATATACAAGTTAGGGTCATCGTATAAACCTTTCATAACGTTATCAAGATACAACGAGTACTCTAAATCATCATTTATTACTACTTCTTCGGATAGTTGCTAATTACAACTACTATCTGATGACTCTTTATCATCAAGATCGATTACAATGGGAACAATATCATTAAGTACAAAACCATCATCATAATCAAATCCAGCCTCGGTATAAGCTTCTTCTCCGCTATCCGTGCCTTGGGCCGATGGTTCAGTATCGAATTCAGCACCGTAGAGAAGGGAGTCAATAAAATAATTTTCCAACCCTTAAATGGTTGCTTATCCGCGACCACCATCTTGACCTTGTTATTAGTGTCTACATATTTAGGACACTGATGGAGGGTAGAAGGGACTATAACGTTATCGTGGATCCATGGTCGTCCCAATAGTAAGTTATTAGAAGTCTCTGCATCGATCACATAACATGTGACTTCTGACTTCAGATCTCTAATCTAGCACTTTACTCGGATTTTACCCAATGGTTTGGACCCACTGGTGTTGAATCTGTAGATTGTAGTGCCTGTGGAGGCTAGTTTACTGGCTAGTTTTTTGAGCTTGTACAGCAATTGGAGTGGCATGATGCTAACAGCGGAACCCGGATCGACTTGGATCCGGTTGATGACGTTGGAACTAATATGTCCGGTGAAATATAGGGGCCGATCATGCTTCAAATTCTTTGTCAGCATATCCTCCTTGGTGAAAGAAATGCAGGAAAAGTGGTTCGCCGTGAGGTTACAGTGTTAGACTGGCAGCTCTGGCTCCTCAGGGGATGGCTTGATCTTAGTTAGGAAAACATCAGAATTGGCCAAGGCTTCTTATAGTGCTTCCCTTGTGTCTTTTGAAAGATGTAGCAACTCATATAAGGTTAATCTAGCTGGTATATTAGCTAACTGCGCTATAATATCAAAGCGATACGGAGTGTTTGAGCTCCCCGGTTTGTCTCTTCTAATTGGTTGATTGAATCGAGACTACTTCGGGTTCTTAACTTCTTGGTATAAGGGTTCCTTCCCCTTTTGCTTTTGTTGAGTCTTCTCAATAACTACTGGAGAAGTTGTGGCCACACCCATTCCAGCTAATGTTTTAGAGGGAACACTTTTGGTCACCCCCTGCTCGGCTAACTGATTGGAGGCATTCAGGTATTTAAAATGGTATTCATTCCCACTCCGGGTAGCAAAAGCTGTTCTCTGTTGGTTACAAAGACTTCTTGTTTGTCTTTAGAGAGTGGGAAAGTAGAAATTCCTTCGTCATCTTCTTCTGGACAGGCTGCGGCTCCACAACAAGACTTCCCTTTCCCCTTTGATTTTTTCTTGGATAAGGATCCGGTCCACTGTTCATCTTTAATTAGATCAGGATGGACCCAAAGAATCTTGTCATTTGGGGTTGTTTGCGGCACGAGTCCTTCCTGGTGCTGTCCATGGGGGTTGTCGTTTACGGTTTTCATTGTCACTTTCATCACGGGCTCGGGTTGAAACCATTTCAACGGGACAGATCCAAAGCTAATTGTCACTGCATTCACACCTACCTTCTTCTATTTAGATTGCTTCATAGTAATGACCCCAACATCGATCAAAGCTTGGATTTTGTCTTTGAGGGCGTAACACGACTTGGTAGGGTGGTGAACCGCGCTCTGTGGAACGCGCAGTACTTTAGATCATTAACCCTTTTAGCGTCTTCTTAGTCCTGAATTGGAGGCAACTTAATCTTGTTGTTCTCTATGAGGTATTTGAAAATACCGGGGACTTCGTCTTCTTTAAACGAGTAGACTTTTGGAAATTTTGGTTGCAAAGTATTTTGCTTTTGGGGTTGTTGTTGCCACTGTGACTGTTGAGGCGCCTTTTGTTGTCGCTGTTGTGGTTGCGTTTGCGCTTGCAGCTCAAATGTTTGGTTCATGTCGATTGCGTTTGCTTGCACTTTCCCTTTACCCCGAGGGACAAAATTCTAATGTGGAGTATTTATTGTCGTTTGACCTCTTTCGGCCTTCTTCCTCTTGAGGAAGCATTCGGCTCGTTCTCCTTGTACCTTCAAATCCCTCCAGGTCTTTGATGGCGCCATTTCCATGACTTCGAGGATATCCAACGGAAGATTATTATGACAAGTTTCAAGGATGAAGTCTTCACTGATCGGATCTCAACAATTCATTGCTTTGTTCCAGAATCGTTTGACGAAGTTCTCAACTAATTCTCTATCCTTCTGGTTCTCATCGAATAATGTTCCGATTGAAACCTCGGTGTCGTCATTGAAGAAATTTGTGAGAAACATATCTTCCATGTCATCCTAACTGTTAATTCTCCCCAGCTTAAGACGGTGATACCAATCGAAGACTGCTCCGCGAAGAGTGCCAACGAATGACCGTACCATCAAGAGCTCATTGCCAAAGATTATTCCTAAATGAGACTCGAAGTATATTAAGTGTTGAGTGGGGGAACCCTTTCTATCAAACGGCGTGAAGTTGATCAAATTAAACTTCATCGGGTATGGGATTGATTCCCACTCTCTCGGGTATGGACACGGTATTCCAGCCATCTTTACTTCTTGAACACTCATCAACGCATTGATTTTGCTCTCCAAATCCCTCATCTTCTTATCCTCGCTTGTATCTTTCTTCAAGTGATTTTGGAGAGAAGTGACGTGGTCCTCCTTTGTATTGTTATCATCCGAGGGACCATCCCAAGCATTGTTGTCAACGGGAGGGGTATCCATGTTGGCATTATCGTCCGCCTCCCGATCACTATCAGCTTGGTTGGGATTGCGATGGCTGGACTCTCCCTACTGATTTGTCAGCACCATAATTTGTTGGCTGTGCATTTCTCTCATCTCCTGCATAGCCATCTCCATTTCAAATTTGAAATTTCCTTTTTGTTTGGTTAGAGCGTCTTTGAGAATTTTAGCAATTTGTTATGTGTTGATCATAAATGACTCATAGGATTGTCCCGCGCTGGATGCCGTATCATCGGCCATTATTGAGCAAGCATCTTTTGTTTCATCATTTGAGGGTAATACCTTTTGCATTCTCTGGTAATCCCTTCATCTACTGGTCCCCGATCGTAATCGAGTTATATGCTGGGATACTATTGAAAACTGATCGGGACTAAAGTGTCATGTCGACCTCCCTTTACCGGTCATGTTGACAGACACTTCTGGAAATTTATCATTCTGAGCGGTAGCTGGTTTCTTTCTATGAAAACACCTTGGCTTGAACTTGGACGTTCCGGTAGAGATTCTTTCAAATATCAAAACTCTCTCCGGGACAGTCTTGGGGTAGCAACATTCTAACAACACTACCTTGATAATTTTGGCACAAGGATAATGAGAGTCCACTTCTCGGTTACTCCTTTTCCGATACTTGTTCGTACTCCTAGCCCGATAGTACAACTCATCGGCCTTATGGCCGGAGCAACCCATCGTGTGTTGGCACGACTCTCCAGGTATAACGTCATTGTCAGACGAATACGTTTTCCTCTAGGGACTCAATGCTTTGTTAGTGTCTTCAGGAGTCACGCATTCGAGGCTACTTTTTGGTGAGGGTTGAACCTCAACGGGCTCCCGGACTTCGACGCGCAATCCAATGTAGTTAGTTATAAAGATTTTCCCATCATGCGTTCTCTTCCATTGCTAAGGAGGATGATTATGTTCCCCAGCCTGATAAACCACTCGAGATCTGTTCAATGGGCCTAAGCGCTCTTTTACTAGAGCTTTACCTCGATCCTCATGTGAAGGGCCAAGGCGATCTGTGATCTTTATCTTACATCGGGACAAATCCACACTGTCACGAGGCTCCAACAGAGGTGTGGAACTTGAAGGAATCGGAGAAACAAGTGTAGAACGTCTTTTGTCTTGGTCCTGGCACAGGTCAGACTTGAGTGACCTGTGGCTTGGAGGGTCAGACCGACCCACG